TGTCTTTTGCAATGGTCATTCCCATGCTGCATTCAGCTTCAAATCTTCCTTTACTGAATCGCGGGCAGTCAATTATAATGTGCTCTACAGTTTGGTTTACGTTTTCATCGCAAGTGCAGCACGGGGATGATGCCAATTTATATTTATACAGGTAAGCATTGTTACCGCCATGCCCAGTAAACAGGTGTGTGACTAAATTATTCATTTTTATATTTTTTATTACTTTATAAGCTACTAAAACATTGGGAAAGAAAGTCTTGGTTATGGTGCTGGTTGTCGATTCTTCATATTTTCTTTGCCAAATTTGTAGGGTTGCGTTTCTAGTGAGGCGCTTTGCATACGACAGTGGGAATTTATCATATTCCGGTTTTTGCTTGCTTCTAGTAGCAGCTCGTTTGGCTAGTTCGTCTGCTCTTTCGTTGCCCTGAATTCCACAGTGGGCCTTAATCCAGTACAGTAAGATTTTCTTTTGGTTGTCTTCAATGTCTTTTATCATGTTACGAATTTTAAAAGCAATTGGGTTCAATGAGCTTGGATCACATATGCTTATAACAGCTGATCTTGAATCAGTAAAGATATTTGCTCCTTGGTAATCTCTGTTAGCAACGTACTTTACAGCTTTTAAAATTGCAATCATCTCTGCTTGGAAGACACTACAATAGCTTTCTAGTTTGAAGGTTATTGTCTTAATTTCCACTCCATTTTTCCAGATCGTTACTGCTGCGCCTACCTTTGTGTCGATTTTACTTCCATCAGTGAAGATTTTGACCGAGTCGTTACTTACGTCATCAATTTCCTTCTGTTCACTTACTAGGCCAAAACTGCGCTGCGACCTCTCGCATGGATGGGGCAGATCGTAAGGGCTTATTAGTTTTTCTAGTTGTCTTCCAGGTAAGAAATCGACGGGTTTTCCTTTCTTAACGAGGAATGTTTTGACTCCTTATTAAAATATCAAAATGAATATCAGCGCTCACTGCCAGGTTCTTTAGGGACAGTGTGTGTTAATAATATGACAAGCAGTAATACTTCATTTTCTTTACCTACACTCTATGATAGTACCATAACAAAGCAGATAAATTTAAAAAGTAATCTATATAATGAAAAAAATAATATAATTGTGTATAGTGATGACATAGGCAAAAACTTGGGTATATCATTGAATAACTGTTTAAAAAGGCAACAGATAAGTAATTACTGCATGCCTGGAGCATCATTCAGTGATATTATGAATAAAATTTTAACTAGAAAATTTAACCCTAATAGTATATTAATAATTTTTGTTGGGAGAAGAGGCAATATGAACAAGAATCAATTATTAAAATATATTGAATATCTCAATAACATAAATGTGGTTAAAGTTATCTTGTTTACATTGCCTTACATAGAGGGGTGGCCACAGGAAAATAAACTAAGACATAATTTAAATTTAATGATGCATAACTTGACATGTAACAATAACTTAAATTTGACATTTAATTGTAAGAATAATAATGATAAATTTCATTTAATTGATATTAATAATTTAACTAAGAAGTTTTTGACAAGAGATAGGTATTACCTATCAAAGTATAGTTTAAGACTGGTAGCAAATACGCTATCTTATTATTTATATTTTAACTCAGCCAATGATTTGGCTACCTTGACACCTGCTTCTTTTGAGCAACAAAATAATTTTATATTTGATTTGGAACCAGTTCCAAGTAATTTAAATTAGATAATAAGACAATAGAGGTAATCTCTAGCAAAGATAATTTAAATAGCTTAGAATGCAACTTACCAATACATAATTATGCAATTTTACAAAATAACAATAATAAAAACTGTATCAACCTGGTGCATCAAAATATACAAGGTATGTTAGGCAAAGTATTAGAAATTGATTTATTTTTAAATAGTAACAGTGTAAATATTTTATGTATTACAGAACATTGGTTGAAAGAATACAACTCCATATTTAATTTCAGTAATCACCAGGTGGTCAGTTCGTTCAATAGAGGTACTAAATTACGTGGTGGCTCCTTAATATTAGCTAATAAGTCCTTATCATGTAAAGAACGTAAAGACATTGTGAGCCTCTCTGTTGAGCGTACTGTAGAAATGGCATGTGTTGAGCTTGAGCACCTTATTGTTGTCAGTGTTTACAGACCCCCATGTTCAAGTTAAGATACTTTTGAAAAAATTATGGAAGAAGTTTTAGTTAAGCTTAATAAACAGAATAAATCTCTTGTAGTGTGTGGAGACTTTAATATCAATCTCCTGGAAACTTCTTCCATCAGTATTAAATTCTGTTCTTTGTTCAAATCCTATAATCTTAATAATTTATTCTTTGAAGCTACACGAATTGCAGGGTGTAGTGCAACTTGTATTGATAATATTTTTACAGGTGTTGTACCAATCAACAAATCAATAATACAAAAACTTAGTTCAGATCACTGTGGACAACTGGTTTCGTTACCTTATATGCACAAAAAACAGGTAAATGAGAAAATTGTGTTTGTTCCTATTAATGCAAAACGCCTGGAGAGATTTAGAAGTAATATGTTAAAAATCCTTCCATCCCTTTCTTATAAGAACAATGCAGACTATTTATATAGAGAATTATTTACCTTTATAAACAATGAATTTAATAAAACATTCACTTCTAAAACATTCTCCAGAAACAGTCGCAAGGCATTTAATGAGTGGGCGACAGTAGGAATTCATAAAAGCAGACGAAGGTTATATGACCTTTACCATGAAAGATCGTATAATCTTTCCGATGCCTTTAAAGAATATGTAAAAAATTATTCTAAAATGTTTAAAAGAGTTTGCTCCACAGCCAAATCATTACATATTAGTAACAAAATTAAGACAGCTAAGAATAAAATTAAAATGACGTGGAGTATAATTAACAGCGAAACCGGTAAAGAGAAACCTCGTAATTCAAACTATCAATTAAAAATTAATAATGAATTGACTAAATCAAATCAAGAAGTTGCAGCGGTGTTTGAGAAATATTTCACTGATGTTCCTATCTTGACAACAGAGTCATTGAATGCTTCCCCAACTGTCGCCGAATCATTACTTAAACAGAATGTTAATACCTGTTTAAAAGAATTTAGATTTGAAAAAGTATTACCGCATAATATTGTAAAATACTTCAAAACCATTGATGTAAAGAAAACCGCAGATTTGTGGGGGATTTCCGTTACAGTGATTGCGTCCATAATAGATTTAATTGCACCTCATCTTGCTATTATTTTTAATACTTGTATCGATTCTGGTGTGTTTCCTGATTTAATGAAGTATAGTAAAGTAATACCTTTATTTAAATCTGGTAGTACATTGGACCCCGCTAATTATAGACCTATTTCTGTACTACCAACTCTCAGTAAAATTTTTGAAAAAATAATTTTGGATCAATTGTTAATTTTTTTTAATACAAATAAATTACTTCATAAAAATCAATTTGGTTTTACAAGGGGTCGCTCGACGTCTGACGCCGGTGTTGAGCTTATGAAATATATTTTTAATGCCTGGGAGAATTCACAAGATGCCTTAGGTATTTTCTGTGACCTTTCCAAGGCTTTCGATTGTGTTCATCATGATACATTAATCAGGAAACTACAACATTACGGTGTAAAAAATTTGGCGCTTAAACTTATTACTTCATATTTAAGTAACAGAACTCAAAAAGTCGTCATTAATGGTAAATGTTCCTCCGGATTAGTAGTATCAATGGGCGTTCCTCAGGGCTTGATTCTTGGCCCATTCCTGTTCTTAATCTATATTAATGACTTACCTTATCTTGTAGGGGACAATCACGATATAGTATTATTTGCTGACGATACCTCTTTAATTTTCAAACTGAAACGGCAGTCAATTAAATATGACGATGTAAATAATGCTCTATCGAAACTAGTACATTGGTTTAACGCCAACAATTTGCTCTTAAACGGCAATAAGACAAAATGTATTAAATTTACAATACCTAATGTAAAACATTCGAAAACCAATGTGCTCTTAAATGGGGAGGAGTTGAGTCTTGTGGATACCACTGTTTTTCTCGGTATTACTATTGACGCGAAACTTCAATGGGGCCCCCATATATCTAAATTAGCAAGCAGACTTAGTTCTGCAGCATATGCTGTAAGAAAGATTAGAAGTCTCACAGATGTTGAGACAGCTAGGTTAGTGTATTTTAGTTACTTTCATAGCGTAATGTCTTATGGAATTTTGCTATGGGGTAATGCGACTGATATTGAAGCTATATTTGTTTTGCAAAAGAGAGCCGTACGGGCGATTTATAATCTAAATTGTAAAGAGTCCCTTAGAGAAAAATTTAAAGAAATAAACATATTAACTTTGGCATCGCAATATATTTATGAAAATGTAATGTATGTACATAAAAACATAAATAGCTTTAATAAGAATAAGGATGTTCATACCTTAAACACTAGGAACAAACATAAGCTTGTAATGCCACTTACAAGACTCCACAGAATTAGTAATTCATTTATGGGGCAATGTATACGCTTTTACAACAGAATCCCAGAACATGTTCAAAGTTTGTCAATAAACAAGTTTAAAAGTTTTATTAAAGAAACACTGTACAAAAAGGGTTATTATAATATCAAGGAATACATGAATGAAAATAACCCCTGGGAATAAGGTGATCGCCACCATGCTGGTTCTATGAAAATTCATTTAAAATTGTATAAACAAAATTATTGTTAAGTGAAATTATGTTTAAAAAAAAGTCCCGCTGGGTTTCTTGCTGGTTCTTCCCAGGACAGAGGTATTTTCCGAACCAGTGGTAAATAAAATAATGACTTTCAATAAGTATTATGTAATAATCCATATTGAATAAAAATCATTCTATTCTATTCTATTCTTGATCTCGTATATGTTTGTGTTCTCTTTAGCCCTTAGTGCTAATGGTATTATTTGGGACAGAATAGTGCTGGAGATCAGGGAGTTAGTTCTATGCCCTTTGCAGATACGTATACCAGATATTTGGGTCATTCTATTAAGTATTTTTTCGATATACTTTTTTCGGTTGTCTCCGCCCAACAGCTAGCAGCATATAGTATTGTCGGTTCGACCACAGCTGAATAGATGGTTTTTATGATTTCAGAATTTAATTCCCAATGGGCTTTTGCCGCCCTGGAAACCATTTTGTAGATGTTGATTGCTTTTCGGCAGACGCTATCAAGGTGAGCCTTAAAATTTACATTATTATCAATTGTTAGGCCTAGAACTTTCATTTGATTTGTGTACTGTAATGTAAGTCCTTCAATGTGTAAACAAGGTCGGTGGTATTTCAATTTTTTTGTTATGATTATGGACTGGGTTTTTTGGGGAGCAAATCTTAGTTTATGTTTTTTGCCCCATTCCGTGATTATTCTTAGTGTTTCATTTATGTCTTTTTCTAGTTTTTGGCCATCCTTGTTTTTGGCTACGATCAGAATGTCATCAGCAAAAGCTTGTACGTGGGCATCTAGGTCCTTAGTTGCGTTAAGTAAGGGGTCGATAAGGATGTTCCAGAGCATAGGGCCGCAAGTAGAGCCCTGGATACATCCTTTATTTGTGGGTTTCCTGCATTCTTGCCCAGCATACCTAAGATGTATTTTTCTTTCGGATAAGTAACTGCTAATGAGCCTGACCATAGATTTGTCTACATTTTTGGCGTGGAGTTCTTTAATTATGGCAGGCCACCATGCGTTATCGAACGCACCTTCTATATCTAACGATATTAGTACCACTATAGCTTTATTCTTAAGTCCTTTCTTTATAAGTGTAGTTGTATCAAATAGGGCATCCTCAGTACTTCTTTGGGGAGTGAAACCGTATTGTCTATTGTTAATTTTACCTTCCCTTCCTAGTTGCCACTGGACTCTATTTACAAAAAGTTTCTCTAGAACCTTACCTAAAACTGGTAATAACCCGATTGGCCTATAGGATTTTGCCAGGGAGTAGTCTTCCTTGTTAGGCTTGGGAATAACCTTAATTGTTGCTGTTTTCCATATTTCTGGGAAGTAGCCTAGTGTTAAGCATTTATTGTAAATGGATTGCAGGATTTCCGGGTTGCTTTCAAACGCAGCTTGGCATATATCTGATGTTAAGCCATCTTCTCCAGGAGCTTTCTTCGGACTCATATTCTTAAATATTTCTCTTATTTCAAGTTTTGTGAACAACTTGATGGCTGAAATGTCTTCATTTTTAAGTTTGCTTATTATTTGCTGTCTTTCTATTCTTATTTCAGTCTGCTGTACACTATCAGTGTCAGGGTTGTCCCATGGATAAAATGTATCAGCTAGATGGTTCGCTGATTCGACTTCTGAAAGGATTTTTCCATCTGAGTCACGGAGTAGTCTGTCCTGTTCTCTATTTGAGCAAGTTTTTAGGATCCGGTATGTTCTTTGCCAGAGAGACTCTTTTTCTCCTTTGTTGCAGAGATTTTTCCAGCTTTGAGTTGTAGCCTTTTCAATTGCATTAGTATATTCTTGTCTTGCATCTAAATATTGGTCTATTACATGTTTTCTTCTTAGAGGGTTTGCATTCCTTATTCTTCTTCTTTTCCTAATCATATCTGCTTTCTTTTCATTTATTTCGTTGTTCCACCATACAGGATCTTTTACTTTTCGCTTCTGTTTTTTCATTGGTATATTGTTATTACAGCCTGCTAATATTAATTTTGTGTAGTTTTTTATTGTTTCTTCTAGCTCTTGTGGTGTGGTGATTTCGTTTATTTTCTTACTTATCGCATATCTACTAAGTTCTGTATTCAGTTCATTTTTCAGATTGCCCCAATTTGCCTTTTTGGTATTATAGATTCTTGTGCCATATATATTGACTGCGGTATTAGAAAGCACTAATTCGAGATTGAATGAGACTAATTTGTGGCTTGAAATTGTGCAGAGTGATTCATCGACATACCAGTCTTTCAGTCTATGAAGTAGTGATGACGAGCAAGCGGTAATATCGATTATACTCGTGCATAATTTATTCATTCTATAAACAGAAAAAGTAGGTGTGGTGCCTACATTGAGGATGCTACAGTGCCTATATTCAGTTCCGCGAATGTTTCCATAATGAGTTTTCCTCTGCTGTCGTCTGTTTTGCATCCCCACCAGATGCTCTTTGCGTTGGCATCCCCTCCTATTATAATGTCATTTGTTGTCATGTTTTTCTTGTATCTCCTTATCACTTGTAGGTCTTCATCGATGTCTCCCTTCTGATGTAGATACATACTGATTACACCTATTTTTAAGTGACCAAGTTCTAACTCTACACCTACTATGTCCTCAGATAGGAGAGTAGGATTGATAATGAATTGAATTGTGGGATCGCTGATAACAATTGCCGACCTGACAGGTTTATCTCTATCCTTGGTAACTTTTTGTATAATTCTATACTGGGAACCCGCAGTTAAATGAGCTTTGGCACCAACGAATGGTTCCTGCATCAAAATCACAGAGTATTCCTGCATCGTGGCTGCACGTAGGCACTCAAGTGTCGGCGCCCGCCCACGATCCAGGTTAATCTGCATGAATTTTATATGCTTCATTGTACTAGAAGTATTTTGGGGTCCTATATTTGTTGTTTCGTTGAATATTTCTTAACAATAGGAGACTGATGATCTAGCAATTTGGTCCCATTTTTGCCATTCTTGGCATTCTGGGCTGTATGCTGGATGCAAGAAGTTGTCCCTTTTAGCAATATTGCAGTTACAGCACTTAGGAGCATTATTGCGATTTGGACAGTCTCTTGTATCATGCTCCTCAGCACAATATCCACAACGTTGTTTGTTATTACAGTCTTTTGCTTTGTGACTGAAGCGAAGACATTTATAACACTGTGTGAGTGGTGATTGGTCGATGCAGGGAATGACTTGATAGCCAATTCGTAGTTTTTGATTTCTCAATTTTGACCACATTTGCGGTGAGGCTTCGAGTATAACATTATTAACCTCCCTAACCCTTCCTTTGATTCTGCGTAAGATTTTTATACTTTTTTGTTCCTCTGTTAACTCTTGCAGTAAATAGTCGTTCTGACTTGTGATGGCTTTAACAAGTTTAGTATCGTTTAAGTCATTTGTGACGCCCACGAGACGTAGCTGTGGGTTTTTAGTTACAGGTGTTGATACTGTTAGCTTATCACAAGTATCACGAATTGCAGTTTTAAGCAGATGTCTGTCCTGCTGGGAGTCGCAGCTTATTATAACTTTTTGATTTTTTAGTTTAGATATTTTATTAACACGTACTCCCAGGTCTACAGGGTCCACATCTTTTCTAACCTGTTTTAAAATATCATCACATGTTGAGCGGGGATCTATGGACTCAATAATCATTGCATAGCGGGGGGTATTAGTTGTTTCTGCATATGTTTTTTTATTGTTAGCTAATACTTTAGTATGTTCGTTTTGCTTTATGCTTTTAATCTCTTCATCTATGGTATTGTTATTGTGAGTGATATTTTTGAGTTCGTTAATTTTATCCTTAATTTCTGTTATAGCTAATTCAGTTCCTAGTCCAGTATTTCCTTGGAATGCTATTTGGGTGGTATTGAAGTCTTTAAGATCGTTAATTTCATTGAGAACCGTGTTCAAGAGACGTGTTATCGGCTTTATTGAGTTCTCTAGATCTTCTTTTATAGATAATGTCTCTTTATTTTCCCTTTCCCGCGTTAAATTTGTGGTATGGTGTCTTTGTATTATTCTTTTTGTGTCCTCGAGCTCCGCAATTATTCGATCTATTCGGGGGTCTGTATGTGTGCTATTTTTCTCACAATAGGATCTTTCAGTCTCCAATTCTATTTCTTTATTTACTAATTTCTGTACCACGAGGCTGAGGTTGGTTATTTTCTGGTTCAGTTCTGATATTTCTTTTATCAGAGATACATAGCTTTCAGTACATTTATCTGACTGGGCAATAGGTGTTTCTTTTGTTGGTAATGGTTGAGTCTTTATTGCAAGGCCATGTATTTCTAACTGGATTTTACTTATTGCCTTAATGGGTTCATCCATCTCGTAGCTAAGCCAAGAACGTATTGACTCAGCAGTTTTTCCCGTATCTTTTATGGCTTCATATGTCTCTGCGAGCTTGTTATAATGTAAGGTTCGAATTTCAGCCAGTTCTTTATTATGGGCTCGTTCGACGCGTACCAATTCTTTCGCGGCTCTAGATCTTTCTTGTTCCGCTGCAAGCCGGTGCCGAGAGCGTGAGTCAGATAGCGACAGCACAGTTTCATAAAGGCCCTGGAGGCAGTCATGAACTTCGCTTTTACACTCCTTTTTCATGTTTCCTACCTTCTCTAGGGCTTCTTTACCAGAAAGCAGAAATTCGTTTGCTCTCTGTGTTGCTAGGTCCATAGAGATGCCTGCACGTTTATATGCTGGTGGTAATATACTGGACCTTTTACTGTTGTCGCTGACTATGCTATCGCCATCCGACCATTCGTCCTCCGTCTCTCGGACCGGCTTGCAGAGGCCCAAAGCAACCAGCTCTTTGTCAATATCCATTGTAATCGAGCTGCCACTTTCTGCACTTGGTTTTGTAGGTCCGCTACTACCTCCAATGTTTGGTCCAGTTGGAGCGGTGCCTATGGATTTGGTTTCACTCTCCACTATCGCAAGATCTCTGGTTTCTTGGTCATCTTCAGGTGCTCTTCCAGATGTAGATGCGTTTTGAATTAAAACCTTTTTGCGCAGAGCAGCACTGGGTGTAGGACTTCCTCCTCTACTTGTTTTGGTAGGCCTTGTTTTAGCAGAGCTAGATCCCGAAGAACCAGATTTGCAGGACATTTTTTTTTTGTTCCGGCTGGGGTCACTTTATCTGGTTTATATTAGTAGCTTCCGATTCCTCTGATGATTCCAAGAAGTTTAAGCCCAAACTCCACTAGAATACGTTGAGCTGTACCAGAGTTATAATTAGTTGAATTTTTCCAACATGGCGGTCTAAAAAGTTATTTTATTTATTCCGTAGCCAGTTTTAACTATAAATGGTCCGAGTTTGGGCTTAATTTATGTAAAATCTTTAGGGCTATATGTTCCCGCTGACTTTAGGTACCTAAAAGTTTTTTGCTAGGTGACCGCGGAATTGGCTTCGCCAAGCGCTCCCGATCAAAATAAGGTCAAGCACGATAAGTTTTGACCATCTAGTTCATGAGAAATACTAATAAAACCAATTCCAAGATGGCGGCTAATAAGACCTAATTTATGTATCTCGATGACGGAGAGAGATAACTTAATCGAGTTTGGGCTCTATGGGTAGGTCTCGGTGAGTATATTACTATAAGATAGATAGAATATAAAAATTTAATTTATTTTAGAAATTATTACCAATAAACATAAAAAAAAATTGTATCTTTGGATCTATGACAGATAAATTTAGTCTGCGAACGGATTTTGGTTGGGTATTTAGTGGTTTCTTTTTTGGTGTATTCAAAAGCACGCGCATCAATCTGAAAACAAGACCACGTGGAAGTGTTTTTTCAAGAAAAAATTCTTGCAGATAAAACTATTCAGTGGAAAAATCTATTTTTTTTGTGAAAATATTAACAGAAATATTACTCATATAAAGCTAAAATAAAAATGGGGTATTGTCGATCATAATAAAGAAAAAAAATGCCTTCAAATATAAGTGAAACTTAAAAAGTTTGGTTTTTTACTAATAACTTTTTGATTCTATTTCCGATTTGCCTCAAAAAAGATTTTATGTACTTAGAAGTTTCTCCCAGACATAAATGCAATGTCAGAAATAAGTACAGGTGTTCGGTTAAGAATTTAGTGGCCACGTGGTTTTTCAGTCTTCATGCTGTAGTTCAGTTGTTTTCAAGCGAAAAAATCTGGAAACAACGGATATATCTGGGGGCTAAAAAGGCCTATAAGATGGTATAAAAATAAATATAGGTTACTGATCTCCTTTTAGCAGCGTTTGCGAAAAAGTAGTAAAAATTTTACCCTTTTCAGCTTTTAGGTTATCTCCGTTGCAAAGATCCTTGAGAAATCACTTGAAATTTTCACCACAGCAAAAAACAAACACAACCACGATATGGCGCTACACAAAACACAGCAACACAGCAATTTGCAGATAAATCGAAAAACTTTTTCTATATTTAACGATTTTTAACAACGGGAGCGCTTTAGAGATGATACGGTACGGAACTCTCCGTTACTAGTTTATCCTTGACTCTTTAGATTATTGATTCGTGCAAACGAATTAATTATTATTCTTAACTACCCTTTCTACATCAGAAGTGGGATAAAGTCCCCGTTTTCGCCCACATATAATCATTGAATAGTATGAGGATTATTACATTTGTAAAGGCTATAATGCATTTCGAATGGATGACTCTGTTTTTATGTTAAACGCCGTAATGAAATTTGCAGTCTTACTTACGATATTGTCGTATCAATAAAGTGTAGAGAAAAGATTTAAAATGAACTGATTTAAGCCAAAAGATAAATCCTTTTGTTCGATTTATATTAAAAGTACCCACAAGTACTTTCATTATTTTTAACGTACCTAAATATGTTAACAAATGTCGAAATAAATGTTGAGCCTTTCAAGCTTACTCCGAATATTGTGTGGTCGACAAGATTGGGGTTTGATGTTGAGGGGTTCGTAGAAGTCTCTACAACAATGATCAGTAAGGAAGATGTTATGTTGCTCATCGGATATGGTCAGGTGCGGCCGAGCTCTGGTAAGATTGAGCCTACACCCCTACAGTCTGTAACTTATCGGCGGATCTTACGGAAAGGCAATTCAAGCTGCCACCGAACACATGGTGCTTTGCCGCTGTAAATGGACGTCTGACACTTGGTCGGCTTTCCTAGATTTTGCGCAGTTGCCTCCTTCCCTTTGAAATATGTGGTGGTATCTTTCTCTACACGTAGTTGCCGTTTTTGCAATATTTGCAATGGTTTGTGAGTTCCATGTCGTACAGTTGCCGTTTCTTAAGAGAATATGTGATGAACTTTGGAAGCTCAGAATTCTATGGTTCGCAATAC